TGATGATTCTTTCGTAAGTACTTTAGTTATATAAGTAAATTAAGTACACACATGCCTCCATTGATTATTAGGAACTTGATAATTAAAAAGGAAGTTTAAAAGTAAAGGACAATATCCCTATTATTAAGTGCGCCAATATTGAGGAGTTTGTAAAGTTGCTTATTGAAATCAAAAATGAGAACTTAAACAATCAAACAGTCAAACTTGGTATTGATGGAGGAAGAAGGTTTTTGAAGGTAAATATTTCATTCTAAATATACTTATGAGAATTATGATTCAGTCAAAACAAAAAAAATGGTGCAACACTTTATAAAAATAAAGAATTTCTTCTTTTATATCTGTTTGAACCTGCTGTTAGATTATGAAAGCGAAGGTTTAGAACTTGAGAAAAACAATCAAAAAGACAAATTTACAATAAGTACATATGAAGAACCTCAGAATTCAAAATATAAAGAAGGTTCTGTAAAAGCTTCTTTTTTACTAGCTTTAGTTTCGAATGTTCGTGAAAGTCGCTACAATGTTTCTATATTAATGAACTGTCTCAATTTATTTAAAATAAAACACTCATTTGTTGCTAATCTTAAGCTTTGTCAAATAATGTGTGGTTTATCTCCAAGTGCTATGGTTACACAACATTGCCATATATGCAAGTTGTAACAAATGCAACCATTTAAAGAAGAAAAGCTTAGAACTTTTAGTTCTTTAGAGGAACATTACACAAAAGTTTCTAAATCAGCTGCAATAAAATGTAAGGCTAAAGAACTTTGCAACGTAATTAATCCTCTATTGACGCACGCTCTATTGACGCCACTTAGTGCAGATTATCTTTTCCCACCAGAATTACACCTAATGGAGGGAGCTGTTAATCATATTTATATTCATATAGAGATATATGGTGGTAAAAACAAAGATGCTAAAGTGTCAATGATTTTGAAACATTTTAAAAGAGGTCCAGAATAATGTCTTTAATGGTAACGCCTCCCGTAAAGTCCTAAAAAATTATCATAAGTACATGTAAACATTGCCAATAAACATAAAACCATTGGCAGAAGGGCTTAGAATTTTTACCTATTTGGTTGAGTTTTGTTTTGGACAAAAACTTCATCATGATTTTCAAACACATATTAAAAACTTTGAAAATAACTACAGAACACTGGTTGAAGATATCGAATAACTGTTTGTTTGAAAACTCATTTTATTTTAAAATATGTGCTTTTTGTGCAGTAAGATGGCGTGGATTAGGCTGTTACTCTGAACAAGTTGTTGAAGCAATTCATTAAAGCTTTGTTAATGAACCTTAGTAAAGATTCAAAGTATTTAAATGTTTCAGCTCCTTTTCTAAACATTTAAAAAAAGCCGTTATCAGTTTTTACAAAAAAGACCTTGTAACTATTGCAAATACTCCTAAAAATATATTTATGTTTTATCTTTGTTTAATTATAGCTTTATCATGCTAATGTCACAAAAATATGTTAAGTTTATTAATAAACAGAATATTAATAATATAAAACATTAATTGATGTTTTTGTATTTATATGTTATGTGTATGGGTTTGTATTTTAAAAATGACATTCATGCCAGTCATATCCAAAGGTTATATTTTATTTATTACTCATTTTCACACCTTAAATGGCTACAGCTCTTGAACAATTGATAAATTTTTATATAAACTTATTAAAAAAAATCCATAAATTTTGGAAAAAAATCCAAAATTGGGCCCTTTTGGCCCCTAAAACGTAGCTATTTTTTTAAAACAAACTTAATGATTTCGGTGAAATATCAAACCTAAATCTACTTATTGTAACAAATCTAACAATGTATAACAATGGCCGGGGTCAAATCGCAAAACTAAAAAGTGGTTGGAGGCATGTGTAAGTATAAGTCATATAAGTACTCCATTATGCCCAAGTCCCCCGTCACCACATTTTAATTATTCTTCGGGGTGTATTGATAAAGCAAATATTGTCTTCTTTTAGTCACGGTCATGTAGATTTTATTTATATATCACGCCATTCTGTTTTTTTTTTTAATGACAAATAAATAATAATAGTAATAAATTATATATGTAAACTAGTATTAATAATGAAAACTATGCATTAAAGTAAATATGTGTAAACGTGATAAGCAGACCAAAATATAAATTTCTTAATTTCATTGAACAGAGAGAATATTAAGGTAATCATGATTTGCGGACCAGATATGCTTGCTCTATGACAATGTCTTCAAAAAAGTCTAAAAGTTTATAGAATTATTAAAAAAATAAATGCATATATTTTTGAAAATAAACAATGAGTGCATTAATCATTACCATGAAACAGGCTTGACAAACTATTTACAAATTAGTAACAGAATTGATAAAAGAAACAAAACTTATACCTGAAAACTAGTCTCTTAGTAATATGTAAGTTGCTAGTTAAATACTTTTATTGGTGTTTTTAATTGCTGGATATTAAAACTGTGCATTCCTTTTCAATTATTTAACGGCGTGCTGCCATTAACAATAAAAAACTAATAAAACTATTTGTTTTTTATTTGTTGTCTATTTATCTATTTTTTGGATTTGTTTTGTCATCATTTTCCATGCTCCTGACTCAAACTTTTTATTTTGGATTATAATCTTTGTTGCTAGAGAAAGAAAACCCTTTATACCACAGTTTTTATTTTCTTTATTTGAACTAGTCTTTTTGACTTGAAAAAATCTCCGACCTATGTTCAAATATAATTTGAACAGTAGATATTTGAATTTCGCTCATTGTGGTAAAAAATGGTTCCAAATATGGGGAGATGTTCTGCATACACCTAAGGAGTATCATTAACTAATGAGATTATTATGTCCAAAAATGGAATTAAGATTTATTTTGTAGCAATGATATAAGATCTAACCGTTTCCTTAAGCAATTTATTAAACACGATGTAAACTTACGGCGATAGCAAACTGCACTTAGTCTTCGTTTTTTGTTGTTATTTTGTTAACCGGTCTCCGCTATCGTCGTCTAAATATTCAGTGTTTATAAGCCTACTCCCTCCTACATTATTGCTAAAAAGTAATTTGAAGTTTAGAGCAAAAGATTTAACGCTAAAACCTGTGTGATAAAAAAGTGTGTAATTTTAAAAAAATGTTTGAGAAATATTTAATTTAACTTTAACTTGGTAGATGAAGATATATCAGTAAGTAGGATAGAGTTTGTTGCTTTATCTTTACTTTGATAAAAATAATTCATCGAAGGCAATTCGCCGCTAATTAAAACGGACATGCATAATGCACCTAAATGGCCACTCTCAAATAATCAAGACTTGGTTTAACGCTTTATAACGTAAAAAAATAACATCTCGAGACATTACAGTTATAATTAAAGTAATTAACAGATTAATCTATTTTTTAATAAATATTTGACACCCAAGAAAGAAAAACTATAATTTTTCCCCAAAATTTAGGTTGCAATGTAGTTTTTACTTTTTTTAAAAAAAAAGTTTTCTCTCTGTTATACCAAGTGCAAAAATTTAGTAGCGTTATTCCAATAATTAAAAAGTTATAAAATTATTTCTTATTTAAAACAGCTACTGCGCCTCATTACTACATTTATAAGTAACTTATAAGTTACTTATAAATGTAGTAATGAGGCAACTTTATAAGTACCACCGCCTAAAACCCTTTAATAAAGTGTGTTCATAAAACTTTTGCAAACTTATTAAAAATAATGAAAATTTTAACATTAATAAATTAAAAATATTTAATGTACTCAAAGCTAGATCACAGTCAAAGCAGAAATTAATTTTGATTAATTTGGTTTGATAAAGGAAAAAATATAAGTAAAACACAAAATAGAAATGCAGTTTTAACGAGAATCAAAAAAAATTTATTGGCATCTTAAATGATATTGTTTTCAAAATGAAATTTGCAAAAAATCTCAAAATAATTTAGAAAACAGGAAAAGGTAATACCAACATAGCTTGCGATAACCTATTGTCGCAAAATTTATTTAAAAAACGTTCTTAAAGCTATTGTTATACACAACTCGTGCCAGACTTTTCTTTCAAAAATAATGCTGACTAAGTTTATATATAATTTATTGTGAAAAAAAAGAGTTTGCAAAAGTAAAATACCAAACGGTTATTGTAAATGTAACATAATTAATATAAATACATCATTAAGATAATTACAAAAAGATAAAAGTCTTTTTTTGTTAGGTATCCAAGTAATTGGAGAGACACCTACTCAAAATTAAAAATGGTAATAAAATTATTATTAAAAATATCAATGAGTTTTTTAATGATGCAAGAGTGATACAACAGCCTTTCGATCGAACAGTTTTTTAAATCTTACGTTAACAATCATTAAGATATTCTTTTTTGTTCTAAAGTTTTTAGCATTTAAAGCTATTTCTTGAACGTTAACGAAAAAATAACTGACTTAAAATGTCTATAACACCGAAAATCCAAGAAATGCCCGTTAAAATAAAAAAATTTTCACCGGTTTTACCCCCTTTTTTTGTAAATATAAATATAATATTTTTAAAAGAATATTATAACTCCACAAGGTATTGTGGTTTCAAAAAATCTACTCAGTTTTTGATATACTTTATTATTAATTAGAAATATTTCGAGTATGTATATTTTCTTTTTAATTTTTTTAAAAAGCAAGTAATAAAAGTTATAAAAAAAAAAAAAAAAAACTAACAAAACCAATATAAATTGAACAAACGAAGCGTCTATAAAAATTATGAAACTGTACTTTTGAGAACCTCTAAAAAACAACTGTTCGCAAAATTCAATAAATTTTTAAACACCAATTTTTAAATTAAAGTTTTAATTCATTGAACTTAATTTTTTTTAAGAAAAAATAAAATGAAATCCTTTTTAGCACCTAATTCTAGAGGTGTATTGCTTAAATTTGAGCAAAACTCAGTTAACGAACGCTTAAGTTTGTCATCGTGATATTTTGCTGATTCTTTGTTTGAGACTTTTAAACATTTTTATATTCTAATAACTTAATTTTTTACCTTGAAATTGCATCCAATGTGAAAATATTGACAAGGAACAATTGTATTAGCACAACTACCATGAATATGGGATAACATCTATGAATATGTTAGAAAAATAGTTTACTAACCAAATGTAACCAATATTCTTTTTATATATAAAATTGTTTGTTATATTATTATTCAAACCTCTTCACGCAATATTTTCATGCCACATTGGTTTACACAATAGAGTGGTAGACATTTGCAATATTCCTCGTGAGCCTAAATGTAAATTTACAAAAAAAATAGTAGTACAACGATTTTTAGAAAAAAAAGTTTTTCTTTTAGCACATTTAATAACAAACATCATCATCTTAAAAACTTAACCTTTTTTTTAAATTTTGGTTTAAAAGAAATATGTTTAGTCTTAATCCTAAAGATATTGCGTCACATAACTATCGCGATGTTCTCAAAAAAAAAACGTTTAGAAAACCTCATAATTACCTCATACAGTTTAATAAAATTAATAAAGTGTGGTTAGAAATATCAAATTTATTCAATATAGTTTTTACATTGAAAAAAAATGGCACTCCACTTTTAATTACAGGTATTATTTTGCAAATAAATGTAGTTATAAAAACCAAACTATTCACTTTTAAAAATTTCAAAAAGAAAACTGAAATCCGAAACTAAATTTTCTTCAAAATTCTCGCTCTGCCTTCAAATAATTACATTTACTATTCTAAAATTACTTTCAGCCAATCCTACTACCACCATACATTTTTAATCCTACACCGACATAAGCAACAAAACTAAATTTAAAAAGCAATTACGCCTGAATATTTTTTCCTTATATACTTAGCATTAGCGTGCAAATTATAGTGACATTTGTAACATCTGTCCAAGAGAAGTATTTTTGTTTTAACACCATCTCTAGCCTTACACGACTTGTTGATTTCATGTGCGTAATGTCATTGAGAATATATATCTTAGCATCTTCAAGTAATTTTTTGTTCAGACTTGCCTTCTTTTATTAAAAATTTGTTGTAACAAAGTTAATGTGTCCAACAAACTCAATCATCAACCCTCAATGTTTTACCCGTCTGTTCAGTAATATCCAACAATTAAAGGTTGGGATGGAATAACTGCCAATTATTGTGCCGGTTAAAATCTTTTACCACAAAGTAAATGAATGTCAAAATCATGGTAAAAGACTGTAAATACCAAAGATTATAAAAAATTTTTGAAAAAACATAAGTTTCAAATTGGAAACTGTTAAAATTTAATTTATCAAGGGGCAATTTGATGACGCAAAATACAACTAATGCTCTTTCACAATGGGTGGACAAATCACTTAACTTAAACCACAGTATAAATTATATTTTGTTATATAAATTATATAAATTATATTTTGCCGGAACCGGAAATAAAAATATACTTTTTTATTCATAAATAGAACCAGAACCAAAAATAAACTTAATCCAAAACAGGATCCAAAAATCAATAACAAGCATTGTTTTTTAAAGTTATAATTTAAACAAAACATTATTACTAATAAAATTAAAAAAATAACAAAACCCAACAAATTGAAGATTTTCGCAACAACAAAAAAAGATTTTCCAGATTATCTGAAAGGATTCTGTTTCTATTGTTGAAAAAATATTTCTTGTTGCAGAAACAGTCTTATAACATCTGTGGATTCCAAAAGGTGGTGTAAGGTACATTTTTGCCAACTTTATTAATGCTAAGTTGATTTTAGAATTCGCATTTTTTAAATAGCTTATCTAAAACTCAATGCATGGAGAAGCTTGATATCTGAAAAAATAACTTTTGTATCTTAGAACAGCACAAGCACAAAACACAGTAACTTACAGAACACTGAAACAACACTTACTTAAAGTAGAGTGGCAACTGAATAATACTTTGTTTTTTCTATTAGTAAAAAAAGTCTATCTATTGCATTTTTTATATCAATTTACAATTCCTAATCACTGACGATAAAGGATGTTTTCAAAACTTTAATTATTGTTGTCACAATTGGAATACAGGAAATAATGCAAGGGTCAAAAGACACCTAAAGTGAAGACCAATTTTTTACAAAGACTCAAATTTTGAACAGAAAATTTAATTTCCACTAAAGAAATTCGATTAAGGTGGCAGTAATGACTGACTTCAGCTGTAATATTTGCTCAAGGATTTAGTAGATAGAGTTCCATCTAGTGGGAACATCGCTTTTTATGTCAAGTCCTTCTTTTTTTTCTGATAGGGTTAGGATATTTTGCTATTTGTAAAGTTCAGTGTAGAAAGCAGTAGCGTGAGATGCGTAAGAAGGTTTCGACTCTTTTCAATCCGTCCGTTTATAATTGGATCTAAAACTAGTTCTTTTTTTTATCTCAAGTTAAAGAGAGTATTTAAGGCATCCATCTGAACTTTAATTTTAACTTGGTTCATTATAGGGTGCTTTTAAATTTGCTGCATTGCCTCTCAAGCAAACTCCGTTTTTTGAAGAAATTTCTCATTCCTCTGCTGTTGTTTCTATCCTGTTAAAAATGTTTTTTGGGGAATGCTTTTAACAATATTGAGAAAAAAAGATGCAGAATTTGACACGTTCCAATCTTCGGAAACAAAGTGAACTGTCAATCCCAGATAGTCATGAAAAAGTGATATATCAACAGCGGATCGATAGGGCCTTATAGATTCGCTGTTGATATATCATTTTTTCATGTTTCTGAAGATTGGAACGTGTCAAATTCTGCATTTTTTTTTCGCAAAAATATTTTTTACGCAAATATTTTTTGATACGCAAACATTTTTTGAAATATTTACAAAAAAAATTTTTTTGTATTTAACGCAGAATATTGTTTAAAAAATAATTTAAATAATTTAAAAATAAGATGAAATTTTAGTATAATTGTGAAATACGAATTTTCATACATTAAAACTGTCTTCCTTCAATTCCCACATCCTTACCAGATGGTCTGGATCCACCAAACAAAAAAAAACCCTAAAAACTGCCCCCTGCTTCCTCTTTACTATATAGTCTTAATCCGCCCTTTCCATTTATATCTTCTGATTGAACCAACTATTCCTTGAGAGCAATTTTTATTTTTCAAAAGTTAGATCTAGCAAACCTCTATAGTATTTTTCGATGGCAATTTCGTAGTTTAAATCAACAAAAGTATTGTGCATCAAAAATTTAGCATCATTAACAATAAACCACGATTTAAGTTCAAGAACCTTCATTTCAAATATTGACTTGTGACATTTTTGACAATTTTCAGTGTTAGAATCAATTTTTGAAGAAGCTTGAACCCTGCTTGGAATTGAAGATTTTAACATGTCAGTTTTTTGTTTTTTTGATCGTATATTGAAGATTGTTACTGTCTTTCCCATGTTTAAATTAAATTCAGATTTTTCGTTGGTTTTTAGATTTACTGAACTTTCTGGCGTAATTTTGATGTCAGGATAATTAACTTCAGGTGTAACCTTAGTCCATATAATCATTGTTTTTTGGGGCCGGAATTGGAAGCGAACCAAATTTCATGATGATCAGTGGTTGAGTCTATGAAAAAATATTATAATTTAGTAAGAAATATACATATATCCATTACATATTAATATAATCGTTATATGTTTGGCTTTTGTAGAAATTTTTGAAATAAAGTCTAAAACAAAATATAAATGAACTTCAAAAAATAGCTTATTAAAATTATATTTTTGATTTGCTCAAAGTTATTTATTATTTTACATAAAACTACTACAAAAAAAAAAAATTAGTTTGGCATTCAAAAGAAGAAAAGTTAAATGAGAATTTAAGAAATATTTATCATTTCAGAACAAAAATGTCTTTTTAAAAAAATAATAATAATAATTCACAAACATTTAAAAATAATGAACCTATTTGCATTTTATTGAAAAATTATTAGTCTTGTTATAACATAATGAAAAGAAAATTTTCTATAAGCGAAATGTCATTTTAGAAATTTTTTCACATGCTTTTTTTATCGTGAAACAACTAAGAATTTCTTTAAAAAATTTTTTTTTTTTACAAATTTTAGGGATCCGTGTTTAATGGTTTTCAGCAAACTCTGATTATAAATTTTCTAATTTTTGGAATCCAAAATTGTTTCATTATGCAAATCACATAATGAAACAATTTTGGATTAAAATTACAGAGTGAAATTACCCATTCTTTTCAAAAAAAAAATTTCTTTTAATAACCCTATGAATTTTATATATATATATATATATATATATATATATATATATATATATATATATATATATATATATATATATATATATATATATATATATATATATATACATATATATATATATATATATATATATATATATATATATATATATATATATATATATATATATATATATATATATATATATATATATATATCAATTTTTTATTTTAGGTGCCCCAAAAAGTCTTAACGGTCTTGTAACAAAGCACCGCGGAAGTGCGTTTAACCCAGGAAGTTCAGGCCTCCTTCCTTATCGTGACGCGAAATGTGTCCAAAGCTCGTTTCGAACCTGGATCTCCTGCTTAAAAGGCAAGTGCTCTAACCATTGTGCCACGGTCGCGTAATAATATATGCGAGCGTGTGAGTATGACTTGTTATGCTTATAATAATAAAAATATACATCAAATTATAAAAATGTTTAGCGAGTGTACGAGGTGAAAAAAAAAAGGAGCCGTTTTGGAGCCATAATTACTTAACACCCTGACCATCTTACCGAGTTTCTTCATTCATTATATTATACGTTATATAATTTTTAGCAAAATTATTAGGTTAAACAAATGTTTTTGTCAAAATATAATTAAGTGTAGAAGCTTGACATTTCCTAATATTAGCTCTATGACGTGCTTTTCTAAACCATTTCTTTACATATTTGCTTTGGAATTTATTATTTGGCGAATGTACTGTTCACATAATTGTTAAACTTGAAATAATGTTTATTATTAAAAAAACTTTGAATGGAAGAAAAATTTTGAATGGAACGTTCGCTTTTGAAATAATTAATATATTTGTAGCGTTGCCTAAGGGCTGATGTTCATTTGGAGTTTATTACAAGATTTTTCCACCAACTGGAAAAATCTTGAACATCACCTAAACTACTGAGCTACTCTTTTCATAAATATTGAAAGTTTTAGTTCAATGCCTAACTTTATTGTTTCTAAAGCATAGATCTTGTTCAATAAATCATCGTGGTTTATCAAAAACGTTGAAATTTTTATTTAAGTTATTTTTTTTTTATTTTTG